GTCAGACGAGTCATCTGTGACTGAATCAGACGAAGCCATTCCTCGAATTGCTTGAAACCAATGATTTTATTTAAATTCAAGTCTCGGTTCTGATCCGATTCGGCTATAGTTTTGGCCATCAATTCATTGCATTGTATTTCAATAAGAAATTGTATTTTTAGAGACAATTGATGGTGAGATTAGGGAAGAGATAAGAGGTTTAGATTAGAAATAAATTAATAAAACGCTGGATATAATGATAGTACCTTGTTTGAAGTTTAATACATTGCAGTTGCAAACGGCCAAAATGGTAAAGAGTATTGCGATCGAGAGTTTCATTTTTGAATTGTGAACAAAAATAGTTTTCAGATTTTTTTGGTGAATGTATTATGAATTGAATACAAATAATGAAGTGATTTGTTTTTAGCAAATTTCTCGATTTATATACCCATTCATTGTACGGGTTATTTGCATTCATACCGTTATATTGTTTATACAATTGTTAATTATAGTTTCAATTAATGTATGAATTATTTAATTTGTATTATTTTTTAAAATATTCAGTTTGTATTACACAATGATTGAAACCCTCATATTTTTTTCAAGTCAACGATTTATTGAAATTAAATTATTATTTAACAGAATATACATTTACTATTTCATGATTGTTAATTTAATTCGTAAAGTAATAAAAATCCGATTAACTATTAATTATTAATTATATGCAGTAATTAAGAGATTATTGACATTACATTTGACATTTTTAAAACTTTTGTTACTTTTTATATTTAATACAACGTCTAAAATTATAGTAAAACATTTATAAAATTTACAATTTAACAGTAAATTTATTTTACTTTAAATTATAAGACAAAATAATGGCCACATTTTCAAATACTCTATAATAACTTATTATTAATAAGTTACAAGATTGATAATTTGCTGTTAATTGACTGATAAATCGGCAAATATTTCTGACCAAATTATATGATTATCCTGTATTTGCCTTAAAGTAATATTTATTATTAAACAATTCAAATGTTAACTAAATGTAATTATAAATTAACACACAATTAAATAAATTATTTTAATAATTTAAAACATAGAACAAAAAAATAAACAAAAATGTTTCAACAAATAATTTTTATTTCTTAAAAATTGATCGACATTTTGATTGAACTAAAAACAATCCACATTTCAATTATCACCAAAACTACACCCAGACCTGTAGACCTACTCTTCGCTTCGGAGTCGGTCGAGACCCGCGGGTTTGGGATTAGTAGAGGCTTTATGGGCCGCAATCCGATCGTATATCTCGATTGGTAGTAATTGCAATAATTTTACCATCAATTTTGTGCGACACTTTCCCGGAACCGATACGTATCTGATCTGCGGATCTGGACTACGGATGGCGTCAACCATTTTGTCAATTACTTCATAGATATTATCGCCGGCGTCGGCTGTCAACTGACCGCCGCAGCGCCGCATCTCTTCGTAATATTGTTTTCCATAGAGTTGTTTGACATCATCCGTACTCTCAGACCACTGTTTGTCCAGTTCTCGGAAATAGTACTCGCGTTCAGCCATTGGTGTCTTATAGGCCATCGGCTCAATTGAGGACACTTTTATGCCCCACTTTCGGGTCTCACGTCTCAGACCATCGGTGAAAGAGATGGCCGCGTGTTTTGTCATCGAATATATACCCAAATTTTCAATGGTTACCCGTCCGGCCATTGACACCAGGTTTACGATACGGCCTTAAAGTGTAATAAATGACATTGATTATTTTATTAGGTATTTACGCTTGACATTCAACATGAGTACGAAATTCAAAGTCCAAACTTTAACACACTTTAAGATAACACTGATTTTTAGTTCATTTTCATTGATATTAAATTAACTATAATTGCCTACATATAAATGAAGTGAAGTTTTAACACTAGTATTGTTTTCAAGTGACAAACCTTTTGATTGTCTAATCAATGGGAGGAAAGTTCTTGAGACCCGAACCATACCAAAGGTGTTCACTTCAAATACACGCTTATAGTTGTCGACTGTCCCCCAGTCTAGAGGGCCGAGTGTTATGATACCGGCGTTGTTGACCACTGCCCACAATTGCTCCCCATTGGACACCAGATCCTTTTGGATCTGTTCGTAGACATCCCTCACCTCATCCTCTTTGGTCACATCCATTCTCAACACTTGAGTTTTGCCCTCAAATCGTTGTGCGGACACCAATTTCTTCGCCCCCTCCCCCTCTGTATCCAATACAGTGGCGTACACTCTATAGCCGTTTTCATTGAGTTTAAGGGCTAATGCATTACCGAAACCCGTATCACAACCTATCCATCAAATTATACACAAAATTTATTGATTAAAACATTATTTCTGTCAATCAAATGAGTAGTAAATCGTGAATACCTGTCACCAAAACCGCCCTCTTATAAGATGTGAGAAACTCTTTGTTAAGTCGTTTGCGGATCCGTTTGACAGCAAACCACGAGAGGACTGACAATATAAACGTCCGGCCGATCCATGAGACCAAACAATGGGCACAACAACTGACGTTAATCGCCAATAATAGCCCCAAAAATGCTATTATGTATTGAGTGGCGAAACAATTAAGCGAAAATAATTTGCTCAATGACATTTTTGCTGCTAATTGCCAAACGTCTAGCCAACACAAACAACACAAGTCTAAAAGTAGTCAATGAAAACCAAGTTGATTATATTTCACTGGTTTTTATTAGTGAAATATATCAAACTTTGAGCACTTTTAGTGCAAATTTAGTGCAAATGAATCTTAAGAATCTGTTATATAAAGTAAATGTATTAACCCTTAAGTGCCCAAAGGAAATTATGGGATGTGTTTAATAAAAATTTCAAAACAGCCTAACTCGAATATAACATACACAAAAATGTTGAGTTTATATTCAATGTAAAGATAAAAGATTATATTA